TACAGGCGCGTGCTACCACACCCAGCTCATTTTGATTTATTGTAGAGATGAGGTCTCGCCAAGTTGCCCAGGCGGGCCTCGAACCCAGGGGCTCAGGTAGTCCACTCACCTCAGCCTCCCAAAGGCGTGGGATCACAGGCTGAGCCACTGAGCCCGGCGAGTGTGGGTTTTTTAAAAGATGTAGTCAAACCTTGATTCTAGTTCCTAATCATTTTTTTACCAGTATAAAAATTTTTTATCTTCCCAGGTTAATAATTAAACTTGACTTTTATATCTATACTTCTTTAGTCAAAAGATTGCATGTAAGTTAATATTCATATTAATATCAGAGAGCCTAAGAGAGAAAACTAGAGCATGCATAAGCTTAGAGTCTTAGATCTAGTGATGTTAATCATAGTTGCTTTCCTTTATACTATGGTGGAGGATGATCTTAATTATTAAACAGAAATACTTGATCATATTATACGTATATTGTGGTTACGGGATCTGAAATCCCATTCAGAAAGAAAATGAAGCAAATGAGAACCTTATATGACCTAGAAGACTGGTCACTGAAGAAAGTGGGTTTTCAGACGCTCTTGTTGCAACTCTTGGCAACTTATTTAACTGTAACTCTTCCTTTTCCAACTTTTTTCTGATGCCTCTGGCCATTTCACTGCCTGTTAGCATGCACCTAAAGATGACTTGGTTAGAATGAAGGAATTCCACAGAGCAGTTATTGTGGTAGTCTGTAACTTTTCCAGATAATTTTCCTTTTTTTTTGAGTTGGAGTCTCACTCTGTTGCCCAGACTGGAGTGCAGTGGCCACTCCCGGCCACCACAGCCTCGACCTGCTGGGCTCTGGTGATCTTTCCCCCTCAGCCTTTCAAGCAGCTGGAACTACAGGCGCACGCTACCATGCCCGGCTGATTTTTTGATTTGTTGTAGAGATGAGGTCTCGCCAAGTTGCCCAGACGGGTCTCGAACCTGCGGACTCAGGCAATCCACTCACCTCAGCCTCCCAAAGGCGTGGGATTACAGGCTGAGCCACCGAGCCCGGCTCAATCTTTCTTATTAACAAGTGGAGCATAATGTCTCTGTCATTAATTTCAGTATTAAATTATCTTTTTTTTTTTTTTTTTGAGTTGGTGTCTCACTCTCTCCCAGGCTGGAGTGTAGCCTCAACCTGCTGGGCTCAGGTGATCCTTCCACCTCAGCCTTCCAAGTAACTTTACCTACAGGCATACACCACCACGCCTGGCTAATTTTTTTATTTATTGTAGAGATATGGTCTCGCCAGATTGCCCAGGCTGGTCTCAAACCCGTGGACTTAGGCAATCCTCTCACCTCAGACTCCCAAAGTGCTGAGATTATAGGCATGAGCCACTGCACCCAGCCTATCATCTGATTTTATTTAAAAGCACAGTATTTCTTATTTGTTCTCCTAGAAAATAAATAATATTGTTTTTATTCACATCAGTGATAATATATTGATTCTAATGAACTAGATGTGTTTTATGGCTCAGAGATCAGCATAATTCCTGCTCAGATAACAAACTGAGGTGATTCAGCTGAGATGGAAAAAAAAAGAGGATGTTATCTCTAGGTTGACAAGTTAATTATTGGCGTTTTATGAATATTTAAGACTTGGTGTATTATTGTCATGAAAATATAAGGTGGTGGTAACCTATATACAGTTATTTCTAGCAAATTGAGACTGGGTACAGATTAAGGATGAGAACCAAGAAAAAGGGTATGATCTTAGTCTCTAGGATGGTAAACTTGTAATTTTGACACTTTTACTGGGAATTTTTATTACCCTAAGTTGATTGTTTTACTATTTATTTCTGTTACTGCCCAATAAAGAGCATTTTATGGAAGCTTTTTCACCACCACAAGCCACACCCAAGGGTGACCTCTTGAAGGATTTTTTTTCTCATGAACTTGGGAAACCTTACCTCTCTCCAACTTTGGCTAAATGCTTTGAAGTGTGAGCTTTGGCTGACTGCTTTGAAGTGTGAACATTTAAGCTTTCTTTTTTTGTTTTTGAGCTGGAGTCTCACTCTGTCACCCCTCAGGCTGGAGCGCAGTGGCACATTCGCTGCTTATGGTCACCACAACTTCGACCTGTTTGCTTACTTAGTTGTTACTGTTCCTGAGTTTTCATGTTTTCTTGCCAAGGTTACCACGGTTACCTGTGATTTAGTAACACTGAACCTTAACACTTTCAGCAATCTTACCTTCCCAATCTTACCTCTATGTCAAGCTACCAGTTAAAATGTAGAGAATGATTCCATCAACCTTGGCACAATTTGGATAAAAGGATACTGTGATAAAAATTGGATTTTTTATATCTAGCCAGTACATATCTATTCTTGCCAACATTTTTAGATGACGATAATCTGTAAGTGTGGATCAGAATTACTGTGATATCTGAACACCAAAATGGTTTTCATATAATTAAATTGAAATGCAGCTGTACTTTACATATGTAGGTTGTCTAGATGTGCTTCTGAACAAAAATATACATGAAGAATGTGAATTAATTTATGCTTTAAACCCACCAAGGGAGTTTTGTTATTTCAAGAAACACTGTGATAAAACCTCTAGCAAAGGAAGAATAACTTCAGTTTACGCCTTGTGCAAATCTTTTTTGATCTATCTGTTTTGCTTAAAGCAAAGTAAGAGGACAGTATACAAGAGGGCAACTGGACTTATTCAGGACAGGAGGAATCATAGGACAAGTATCTGTACTGAGATTTGAGAGTAGGTATTTTAAATACATTTTGGCTCTTTGGTTCTGGAGAGGTAATCCTCTTGGATTTCTTCTAACATCTACCTCTTGCTTTTATGCCAGATCGAGCGGTTGGAAGTAAGCAGCCTTGCCCAGACTTCCAGCGCAGTGGCCTCCAGTACTGATGGAAGCATCCACACAGACTCCGTGGATGGAACACCAGACCCTCAACGTACAAAAGCTGCCATTGCTCATCTGCAGCAGAAGATCCTGAAGCTCACAGAACAGATCAAGATTGCACAAACAGCCCGGGACGACAACGTTGCTGAGTACTTGAAGCTTGCCAATAGTGCAGACAAACAGCAGGCTGCCCGCATCAAGCAGGTCTTTGAGAAGAAGAACCAGAAATCTGCCCAAACCATCCTTCAGCTACAAAAGAAGCTTGAGCATTACCACAGGAAGCTCCGAGAGGTGGAGCAAAATGGGATCCCCCGGCAGCCAAAGGATGTCTTCAGGGACATGCACCAGGGTCTGAAGGACGTGGGAGCGAAGGTGACTGGCTTCAGTGAAGGTGTGGTGGATAGTGTCAAAGGTGGATTTTCCAGCTTTTCCCAGGCCACCCATTCCGCAGCAGGTGCCGTGGTCTCAAAGCCCAGAGAGATTGCTTCACTGATTCGGAATAAATTTGGCAGTGCAGACAACATCCCTAACCTGAAGGACTCTTTAGAGGAAGGGCAAGTGGATGATGGGGGGAAGGCTTTGGGAGTGATTTCAAACTTTCAGTCAAGCCCAAAATATGGTAGTGAGGAAGATTGTTCTAGTGCCACTTCAGGCTCAGTGGGAGCCAACAGCACCACTGGGGGCATTGCTGTAGGAGCATCCAGCTCCAAAACAAACACCCTGGACATGCAGAGCTCAGGATTTGATGCACTACTACATGAGATCCAGGAGATCCGGGAAACCCAGGCCAGACTAGAGGAATCCTTTGAGACCCTCAAGGAACATTATCAGAGGGACTATTCCTTAATAATGCAAACCTTACAGGAGGAGCGATATAGGTAAGTTATATGGAATTAAAATCCTAAATTAGCTGGTTGTGGTGGCACATGCCTATAGTCTCAGCTACATGGGAGGCTGAAGCAGAAGGATCACTTGAGCCCAGGAGTTCACAACCAGCCTGGACAACTTGGCAAGATCTTGTCTCAAACATAAAAAATAAAAATAATCCTAAATGATTTGTGTTGGGTTCCCCTCCCTTTAGATATGGGGAAGTGGCTTTAAAAAGTTTTTTTCTTTCTCTAGATTGTCCAGAGCTCTTTAGATATGTCATGTGACATCCACATGAGTTAGTTCCTTGTTCATAGAGAGCAAAATATAGAGGCTTAGGAGTTAAATGACTCCCAAGAACACATACTGATGACGTATTACTGTAATTCTCTAGTCTTCCATTTCCAGTTTAGGGATTCAAAACTAAGGCCAAACTTTCCAAGGCATTCTACCTATTTATTTATAATCTTAGAACCACACATTTGTTACAACCTATAACTGTACTACATTGAATTCAAAAGATCTATAATTCTCAAAACTCTGGAGAAATCAAATATAAGCCAGCGAAAATCTAATGAACCCTGTAGATATTTGGCCTTAAACACACTTAACTGGGCAATTGATGTAAAAAGAGTAGACTGGAAATAAATCCAGATAAGAAGGTCTGTTGCCTTTATTATACAGTGGCAAATGTTTGAATGGGAGTGGACTTAAACATGAAATGGTGCTACAGTAGTTTGAAAGGGCTCTCAAAGGGCTAAATGCTTTTAGTCATAATCTGTACTAAAGATAGAAGTTGGTCTCTTTTTTGTGTTTCATTTTGCATTATATATTAGACCACTCTTCTCTGTTCTCCATATGTGTATCCTTTCCCCTTGTTTCCTTTACATGCAGAGAGAAATAATATCCTCCATGGATAGATCCAAACTTTGTCAGCCAGAGACAGGCCACCTCATAATACAGATTGAGGACCAGTCTTAGGGTCATGGTACATCATCACCTCATGATGCAGTCAGTTAGAGGACCTGGGTTCTGGTTCTGTCCCAGTTATTTAGTAGAGGGAATCCTTAGTACTTCTACTATAATATCAGAAGTCGAACTGACAATATCTTAAAGTCCCCTTTACCTCTTAAAAATAAAAGCAATGTTTTTAAATTTTTGCTTTTTATAAGATAATCTCAGAGCCTGAAATAAATTGTTCATGTATATCAGTTATCACTAAGAAGAGTTACAGCAGCAAGCTCTTTTCAGATGGTGAAGATGCTAATCAATAATTCAACCTGGCCAGCTGCTGTGGCTCACACCTATAATCTCAGCACTTTGGGTGACTGAGGTGAGAGGATTGCCTAAGCCCATGGATTCAAGACCAACCTGGGCAACTTGGCGAGACCTCATCTCTACAATAAATCAAAAACTTAGCCAGACATGGTGGCACATGCCTGTAATACCAGCTGCTTGGAAGGCTGAGGTGGAAGATCACCTGAGCCCAGCAGGTCAAGGCTGCGGTGGCTGTGAGTGTGCCACTGCACTCCATCCTGGGTGACAGAGTGAGACTCCGACTCAAAAAATAAATAAATAAATATAATAATAATAATTCAACCTCCCTCTTTTTTTCCTCACTTCTGGTCATCAATTCGAAATTAAGACTTCAAGAGAGAAGAAAAGTGAAGTATGGGGAAGACAGAAAAAGAGCTCTAAAAGCAAATATTGTATATTACTGTTTTTACTTTGGTGTTTTATATATTTTTTAATATACTGAGAAGATGTCTAATGCAGTGAACAGTGTAACAGATATTCAAATGGACTCTAAAAATACTTGGTCCTTTGTACCATATTAAATCTAACTCCCAAGTTTAAATTCCAGTTCTACCAGGCAAATTTCTTAACTTCTCTAGGTCTTTGTTTCCTCATCTGTAACATAAAAATTATAACAGTTCTTTAATATGATTGTAACCCACTTGATTGAATAATTTGTGTAAAGCATATAGCTTAGTGCCTGGCCCCATAGTGCTCTATTCATGTTAGGTAGCAACTGTTGATAACCCCCTCTTAGAACATGAAGACCTGGGCATTCCACAGTCAGTTACTGAGAAAATTAAAATTTAAAAAAAAAAAAAAAAACTACCTGCTTTGACTCCTTTATTTTGAGTGGATACTTTCTAGTTTTTAAATTCCTCTGGGTGCCGGGCTCGGTGGCTCAGCCTGTAATCCCACACTTTGGGAGGCTGAGGTGAGTGTACGAGATTGCCTGAGCCCATGGGTTCAAGACCTGCCTGGGCAACTTGGCGACACCTCATTTCTATAATAAATCAAAAAAATTAGCCGGGTGTGGTAGCACGTGCCTGTAGTTCCAGCTACTTGGAAGGCTGAGGCGGAAGGATCGCCGGAGCCCAGCAGATCGAGACTGCGGTGGCCGGGAGCAGCAACTGCACTCCAGTCTGGGTGACAGAGTGAGACTCCAACTCAAAAAAAAAAAGGTTCCTCTGGAGCTTAAAATTCATATAGAGCTTATTATGTCTTCAGGTCAGGTGCGAGAAAATCAAAGAGAAAAAATAGGTCTCTTGAGGCCTACATTTCTATCCATTTAAAATAAGTCAGAGATAGGATAGAACTTTAGCTCCATATAAATACCTTATTAGAAGAAACAAGTCTAAGCCACTTAGGAGGTAATGAGCAGTGCATTTCTTTCATTGCACTTTGGGTTCTTTGTAGTAGGTAAAGGACTAGTTTTATGGAATGAAGAAAGAATATAGAAAGCTTCTGAATTTTCAAAAAGAGAAGTAAAACTTGAGGTGAAGGGAAGACAATATGTAATCTGACTTGTTTTGTTTTCCCACTTTAGCTTTAGAATGGTTTTTCCTTAAAACAGAATCTTGAAGAAAGAACATCCTTTTTTCAAAGAAACAGAGCGGAAGAGTCACAACTGTTTTACACAGCTACTTTTCTTCCACTAATAATTCCCTGTATAGTACAGTTAGAGATTTCTCCTTTATTACGTATGTCTTTACACAATAAATATTTTCATCTAAGTTTGTTTGCCTTTGCACAGTGTCACATAAATGAATTTTTTCTACAAATTGAAGCCTTTTTTTTTTTTTAAAGAGACAGGGTCTCATTTTGCCCTGCTTGATCATGAACTCCCGGGCTCAAGCAGTCCTCCTGCCTCAGCCTCCTGAGTAGCTGGGACTATCAATGCACACCACAGCACCTGGCTTTGAAGCCTGTTTTAAGCATCAAAACTTTTCACATTTTAAGCATTTGGAGGAAATTTCTCTGTCTTCTTGTCTTTTTTTTTCCCCCTCTTGGCTCCACACCTTTGGATCTTTGCCTTCCTTTACAAAGTACACTGAGCCTCACTTAATGGAAATAGCTTAGAATGCTAGTATTCTAGCTTAGAATATGATACTCTCAAGTAGTGAGACTGTAAGTTTATGTGCCTCTACACTAAATGGTCCAAGACTTTTTTTTAGTTCCATCTACTTTTTTTATAGTTTGTTTTTTCTCCTTTCCATGTCTCCTTCACACTCTTAGTGAGCTGCCTGCAGCAGCTTTACTAATTCTATTTCTACTCTGTTTTAGGTTTTGCCTTTTGCATAGAAAGGAAGTAGGTTAAGGATGGACTCGACGGACTCTTCGGACCAGCTAATGAGTACATGGCTGCTCTAGATGCATTTTTTTTCCCCTATGTCTCCGTTGACAAGAGGGTGTCATGCACAGTGCTTGTTATCTTGTTATTTGATGATGATGGGGACAAGACTGCTACCACTAATAGTATTACTAAACTCTTATGATGTGCATAATATTAGATGCTTCACATACATTTACCAGTCCTCATAATAACGATAGCCCTGCAGGTGGATTGTATTATCCTCCTTTTTTTTTTTTTTTTTTTTTTTTGATTCTCTGTCACCCAGGCTGGAATGCAGTGGCATGTTGACGGCTCACCACAACTTTGACCTCCTGGGCTCAGGCAGTCCTTCCTCCTCAGCCTCCCAAGTAACTGGGACTACAGGCATGACCACCAGGCTCAGCTAATTTTTTTTTTTTTTCCTATAGAGACAAGGTCTCATTGTGTTGTCCAGGCTGGTGTAGGACTCAAGCAGTCCTCCCACTTTGGCCTCCCAAAGTGCTGGGATTACAAGTATGGGCCACCACACCAAACCTATCACCATTTTAAAGATGAGGAAATTAGACCTGAGGAAGGGGTAAAATTTGTGAAAGGTCACTTAGTAAGTGGTAAAGCCAGGATTCAAACTCAGTTTTATATGACTTCAAATTCACTGTTTTCATAGGAGGACAGATTTTCTTTTTTCCAAGCTCAACCCTAAAAATCTATGATTGAAACATTCAGTGCATTGGCAGTTGGGTATTGGGCGTTTCCCAGGTCCAAGTGTGTGTTTACTAAAGATTGAGTCACTGTTTTTAAAAGAACATATATATTTTATAGAATTCTGTGACTCTGTAAGCTCTGGTAAAGTTTTCTAGGATAGTACAACAGTGTAGGTTGTATAGGCCTACTGAAGAAAACCCCCACCCCAATCATTGTTTCCCCCTTTCAGAATCTCTTCTCAGTAATGTCATTCACTTAACGTGATTTCGTTCTTCTTTTTTTTTTGAGTTGGAGTCCTCTTATCTTATCGTCCAAGCTGGAGTGCAGTGGCACGGCTCACGGACACTGCAGCCTCCGCCTGCCGGGCTTAGGCGATCCCTCTATCTCAGCCTTCCGAGTAACTGGAACTACAGATGCACACCACTGCGCCCGGCTAGTTATTTTGTGATTTATTGTGGAGACGAGGACTCACCAAGTTGCCCAGGCTGATCTCACACCCCTGGACTCAGTCAATCCTCTTGCCTTGGACTCCCAAAGTGCTGGGATTACAGGCTGAGCCACTGCGCCCGGCCTCATTATTCTTTACCCTAGTGAGTAGCTCCCGGTCAAGATAGTTGCCCAAGACCATCTGCTTAACTGTGGAATACTCAGATGCATTCTGAATCCTATAAAATACAGTTT